CTCTCAAATTAAATATACTATTAAAATTACTTTCGCAAAATATAGTTTTGCTTTTCCTTTTATGATTTGTCACAACACAGACTCATTTGAGCGATGGTAGGATTTAAATCTGTATTTCTAGCTATGGAAGTTTTGGCAGACTCTTGGAATTGAAGGATTCTAGGAGAGAACATTTAAGTATATCTTGTTGCTTTATTTTTTTCATTTCAGATCGCTCTTTACAACCCTTTTATTATTTGGCAAACCTTTTCTAAAAAGAATCTTAAATCCAAGAACTTACAGTTACATCTAACATAATGGCTCAGTGACAACATATAGCTCCAATCTCACTCATTTTTGCATATGTAAATGCAGTGATGGAGACAATGAAACAGCGTACGTGAATTAAGTATTGATCCATTGATGAGAAAGAGGAATCAACAATATTCTTGTCAACTCAACAAGATCTTAGAACGTTTGAAGATTGAATCTTTTATTGTGTTTTTACAATATTCTTTGTCACAGTTGGAATCACCCATTATGTAACAATCTTAAACAGATTCTTGATTTTAACTCCCTGTCAAAATTATGTATTACAAGAATTAGGAACTTGTTTTTGCTTGAATTAGTATGAGGTTCGAAACAAGCACAATTCTACTAATATATTACCGGTAAGAATTTGAACAAGTTAATACCTACCAACTTAATAATTTTAATTTGAAATTCAGATTAAAAATTTAAATTTCTCTATTAGCAGGCAATGTACTTACCAGAAAAAAAAAAAAAAAATCCTACTGATGTTTTGATACATGGGGTCATCCGATGCCGAAAAGCCAGAATTTCTCTGCTGAGAGGTGTCAAACTGTCGGTGAAGCAACCTCTCTCTGCTCTGTCACGTTTCATGCGTAATCACAAATGCGACCTCCTAACACCCCACTTACATTTTCTTTTCTCTAATTTTTACCATTGCATTTGCCACTGACTTTTGAAAAAAAGAGCTTTGACCAACGATTTTATTTTCTTTGAAATTTATAAAATTCAACATAATTTCTCAAGAAAATATTTCGACAATAACTTTAATAACTTGGCCAAACGGTTTAATTTGATTATTTGAAAGTCTAGTTTTCTAGCGTAGAAAATTCATTTCGTTGCTATTTTTTTTTTCTGCAAAATTTATTGATCTTAAATGAATCCTGCAATTCTTATTCTCATAAGGAAAAGAAAATCACCACTTAGACAGGCGCTCGACCATAATCCCAAATTGCTACTTTCCTTTTGATAATCAAGTAAATGCAGACCTAGTAATAAAATAGTGTCTATCAAATTCAGTTTTCATTTCAATCCCTAAGAACCAAAGAAGAGAAAGTACCTAGCAAATTCCATGGTCACTACCACTGAAAATTCCATGTTTGGCTTGATATTTTCTCTAGGAAGCAAAAGAGTAACGCAAACTTTCTTTTTACTTTCTTGAGGAAGGGTATTTATTTAAATAATCACTTTCGTAAGTAGAGGTTTTAGATTTCAATCATGGCACCGCATCAACAAAGTGAGAAATACAAATAGAGTTAAACCTAACCAATTAAAAAAGTAAAACAATTCATAGTGAAATTAGAAGATTAATAAACGTACTGGGATTAGTTTAAATGTTAAGAGAGATTTGAATGACGATGAAAATGTAGATTTTAATCTTTTTAACTATTTCAATACAAACAATTGCATGCCAAGCAAGCCTCCAAATTTGCCCTCAAGGATGGAGTAAGGGCAGATGCATCTTCAAATTAAATATGGAAAAAAATCACACAAAATTTATTCCTTTAAACTTATAACCTATAATTTAAAACGTGATATTATCACATATTAGTAATTCATTAATCTCATACTTTTATTGTTAAAAAAAAAAACTAATCCCATGCTTTTGTGATAATCCATTATATTATTTAATAGATTACATATGATAATATCATACGTTAAATAATAAATTATAAGTTTAGAACAACAAGCTGGGGAGATTTGTCTCTATATTTAGTTAGAGGGTGGTTTGGTCCGTACTCCCAAACTTGAGGGCAAATTTGGGGTTTCAACCCTACATGTGAGAACTATGAGTAGGTAATATCATATTTCAAGAGTTGTATTTTAATTAGTAAGAGAGTTTATTTTCTACATTCTTTATCAAAATTTGATTCTCTAAAAAACCTTATGAGAAGGTAGTTACTCATAAATTATTTATTCTTATTTCATTTCAAAATACATACAAATTGGTACGGCTAAAAAACCTATTTCATTTCAAACAATTGCAACAAGTTACATCAGCCATGGCATATGGTCTTTGATTGTGAATGGAGTTATTTAGTGCATTTATAGGATTAGTTAAGTTAAACTATCGTTATAAAAAATTACTGTCTTTGTTTGGTTTGATTGTTATGTTAAGCTTCTTTTGATAACATTTTAGGTCTTTTAATTTTCAGTTTTTTTATTATTTTAAAAGTATATAAAATATTAATTATAATAAATATTAAATATATTAAATATATTTTATATATTTTTAAAATGTTAAAAAACTAAAATATTTATAACTACAATTACATATCAACACTATTAAATTAAATTTTAATTAATAACTAATAAAAAAATTATTTTTAATACTAAAAGAAACCTTACTCAATAAGATAATAGGCAAACTCTTGCCGACCAAGTTACAGTGTTTGGGTAAAGTTCCTATTTTTATTGAGCATTTATCATGTTTCTAAGAAAAGATTTCAACTTTACCCTCAGATTTCGTTGAATCAGAGGTTGAGATAAAGTCAGTCACCATA